AGAGAGAAAGAGAGAGAGAGTGAGTGAGTGAGAGAGAGAGAGAGAGAGAGAGAGAGAGAGAGAGAAACAGCAGGAGTCTTTTGTCTTTTTTTGGAAGAATGGCTTTTTAAAATGGTATGTTCCATTTAAAACTACAAGTGAAGTATTTGCTAAATAGAGATTAAATTACTTAGAGAAAAACTATTCAGCAAGAACTTAAACACACTGGGTGTCCCTGAGCCATCCACTTTCTGATGAAAAGGTGGGTTTTAATATGACGAGGTGCATTCTTTGCATCAGACTTGCTCACATCTCGCAGGAGTTTCTTTGGTCGTCATGAGACTAGATGTTTCTATTGCACAATAGGGACCTTTTTTATGCACAATTTTTCCAGGACAGGGACTGGGCAGCAAAACATCACTGTCCTACCTTGCCTTTGACACATCATAATTTTTCTGCCTCTATTTTCTTAGCAAATCGCGTTGTGCTCTCCTCCCTCCCCCATCACACACCATCAGACAAATGGATAGTCCTAATCCTGCAAAATTCTGAATACCATTACATCCTAATGCTGAGAGAACCAATTCCATTTATGACAAGTTTGGTCCAAGATGAAGCCAGTGGTCACTGCAGCCTGAGCAGCCCATTCTAGGTGTGTGCTTGTTTTTGGACAGTCTGCAACCTTTTCCAATGCTTGGTTGCCTTGTACATAAAGTGAGGCAATAATGCTTACTTCATATGTGTGTTTTTTATGAGAATTAGATGAAAAAAAAAGTATGTAGAGCACCTAGGACAGATTCTAGGAGATAGTTTGTGTTTAGTCAGTGTTGGCTGTTAGGATGAAATAGTCAGGTGCAGAGAGGTGAGTCCCTAGTGCTTTTAAAGGTTGACTGACAGCAGCTGGCAGAAGCAGCAACTGATTCTCCCCCCTGGACCTTGGGAGGGACTCGGTACATATTTGGTGAGTGAGTGAAGGACTGCCAGAGCAAGCTCCTGGATGTTTACTCCCAGACCCATCAGGCTAACCAACCCAACTCATTTCCCAGGTTATACATGTCACTTTTCCTCATCTCCTATTTTTTTTAAAAAAATATATTTTATTGATTTTTTACAGAGAGGAAGGGAGAGAGATAGAGAGTTAGAAACATCAATGAGAGAGAAACATCGATCAGCTGCCTCCTGCACACTCCCTATTGGGGAATGTGCCCAAAACCAAGGTACATGCCCTTGACCGGAATCGAACCTGGGACCCTTGAGTCCACAGGCCAACCCTCTATCCACTGAGCCAAACCAGTTAGGGTGCTCGTCTCCTACTTCTCTCTGTAGAACGCACCATTCCAATAAGAGGCAAAATGAAAACAGTTCCATGTTATTCTAGAGCTCTCTTAAGCCAAATTAACAAACACTTATTGAGGGCAAGGCAGGCAGGTGAGCAGAGTGAAGCCAGAAACAAGAGTTCTCAGCATGTTTTCTAGAACACAGCTCTGCAAATATATCTGACATGATAAAAATATAGGGCAGTGGCTTGTATTTATTAGTTATTTTCAGATTTAAGTGACCTCATGGCATACGGTGAACCCTCTCCCTCCTGTCCTGATTTGCTCTTTCATTCCCTGCCAAGCCCTCATTTCACAATTCCTGCTCACCTGGCCCATTCAGACCTGCTGCCACAGCACGAAAGATTCCTTTCGCAGTTGGTGCCAAGGGGATCTCAAAATGGCTTTGGAAACCTCTTAAATGAGCTCCCTCACTCCTGGTGGGTCTCTACTCACTCAGTACTATGGGTATTTGGAATTCTGAGTGGAACTGAGGGGAGATGAACAAAGGGCTACTGCCACCTATTTTGCATTTTCCAAATAGTTCACCTTGCTTTTCCCCTTATAGTATTTCATTATTTGCTTGTTTCCCCAGAACGGTTTTAATAAGAAAGTTTTGAGACTATCCTGGGATTATAGTCTTTGAATAAACTTTCATGTTCATAGTATAAGCCCCTTTGGTTTAAAATGATCCCACTTAAAACATCTACTTATAACTACCAGCTGCTGGTTCATTCATACTCATCAGTGCACATACACACACAGATAGACACATGTGTGTGCACATGCATATGCACACACATGCACACATACACACATACACACTCTCTCAAGTGCATTGTGTGTATGTAAACATCCAGAAGGAACAATGCATTGCAGAAATTGTCCTGCTGAGTTTGTAATCCAGTGTAAGTTACTGAGTGCTGATAAGTAAAGGAAGTTCAACCAGACAGTTTAATCCTCCAATTTCCTGTCTTCTAATCAGCCCCCGATTCTTTGGGTTTTAAATTAGAAACATTCCTGACAATATTCAGGACAGGTGAAGGAAAATCTACTAGAAAATAAGGACAAAGCATTTATTTTACTGTCTAAAGTTCACAGGAGAAATATGAGTGTAATAACAGGAAGTCAAGATTTTTAAAAAGATAGTAGAACTACATAGGCTAGCTTAAGTAACCAATCACATTTCTGAATGAAGTACATTTAGATCATAATTTGATTTAAAGAAAAAAACCCAGAAACATAGTTTAATGTACTTGCTTCTCTCTAAGTACAGTAAATGATACTTTAAAGATGAATAAGGCCAACCTAGAAGAAAATGATAAGGATAATTTCTTAATGTATGTAGGAGAAAATAAAAAAGCCACTTCATTCAGATTTTGCCTGAAATGGAAAATTGTTAATCTGTGACAAAATAATGTGTGGAGTATACAGAAACTTTTGAAATTAATGCATATTCTTAGAAAGTAATATAGTCATGCATATTTATAATGGTAGATAAAAATAAGACAAGAGTGCATTCAAAAATAAGCACAGGTAAAGTGTGCAAATGCTTGAAATAGAATGTGTGTAAATATGTTTATCATGGACACTTTCTTTTGAAGGTATCCTGGGTGCTGAGAATATGATAGGATTTATTATTTACAGAATTCCCTCATTTTGATTCTTTTCATTTATAGCCACTGTGCAATTTCCAAGTAATTTTAATCACCATCACAAAAGAGCTAGCACAAGTGCTCAGAAAAATATTTATTAGAATGCCCTCAAAGGAGTATGGAAGACAATCACTAACAAAAGTTGTTCAGTTGAGAATTAACATTTTAAAAATTGAAGTGGTAAATACAGTTCAAGGTATAAATCCAAGCAAATAACAACAACAAAAGGTTTGCATGAAATATGAGTTCTTAGTTTGTGTCTGCAGCATTTAGGGCTGCCAATCATTTGGGAAGTAGACTAGAGTTGAGAGGGTTTTTTTTGTTTTGTTTTTTTAATTGTTGAACACAATAAGACTACTTTACAGAAGTACTTTGCTAATTTATACATATATGCATCTATCTATCTACATTTAAAAGGCATTTATGTTATCAGGCATAGCATATCCTTTCTGCCCAAATACTTTTCTGGTATATGAAGTCTGAGTTGGAAAAATTTGGATTAAGTGACGAATACTTATTGATTGAAAAATTGTATGGCGATTTCTAAAGAGAATGCTTCTAAAATAAGTGCTTGGGAACATAGCATGGGGTGAGGGGGTTGGCAGGATAGTTTAAGGGCCTTTCTTTCATAGTCATTATACATTTTTAAATTGGATCGCAGAAGCAAGACAAGTGAATTTTGTAATTCACATAAAAATAGTCCTGTGATACCCTGTTATTAGAAAATCATTAAGAAGAGGAGAATGCTTATTTTACCTTCATTTTCATTCCATGTGGGCAGAATGAAGGTAATGCCACTGAACAGAATTATATTCTGAAGCATATAATGACCCAGGGTCCTTCCATTGCATTTGGCATGGAAGGAAATTTCATGAGGGTTTTCTTTAGCTTTATGTCGGAAGGTTTCAAATAGAGATGTCACAACATAGTTAGATGAAGTTGATACGTAATATCTATTCCTTGATTTGCATGATTAAAGCATTATAGAGAGGTGGCTCAGATATCAAAAGATTTCTCATAAGTGGCAGCGCCAAAGGTAATTACTGTTAAAATGTGCATGCTCGAACCCTGGTCGCTTGTTAACGTCTAAGTTGTTTACAACTCCAGGGGTTGGAATGGAAGTTTTTATTGGACTTTTGGATATCAAGACCCCTTTCTCACTCCCTTTTGATATCAAAAGTGTGCTTAACATATTTTATAACCTATGTCCCTAAGAACAACATCAGCTTCAACCGAAGGAAAAAAAAATGCCATAGAAGATAAAGAAGGCCATGCTTAGTATTTCACATTTTAAAACAATTGTTTCTTAAACAAAAGTAGCCTTTTAAAGACAAAGCTAAAATTTATACTTTAAAAATTCCCCAATTAATTTAGTCAACTGACCTCCACTTAGTTATCAAAAAGTGCAGTTAAACCCCTACTGTAAGCCCCATGCATTATGAGAGGGGGTGGTAGAAGAGGGGTTGTTATACTCAGCCTTTTATTAACCAGTTTCTTTCATTCTAGTGGGCCTTTCTATTTTAGAGAAATAAAAGTGATCTGGGACTCTATCCGTTCTCACCTAAAATCTTGGGGTAGGTAATGGCTGTCTACAACCTGGTCCAACATATGCCCCCCAAACTAAAACAAACAAACTCATTTGCCATACAAATTGTTTACGATTCATTAAAAAGCAAAATTGCATGTCCTGGTGCTGGCAGCTGAGGCCGAGAGCCTCCGGGCGGAGGGGCATTCACTGAGTTGCCTTTGTATGCCGGGAGGACAAGCCGGAGGCTCCCACTCTGCAGCCGGAGTCTGTGCAGCCAGATGACGCATGAGGTAATTTTAAAGCTTTCTTTGCCTTTAGCGTGAAACTCAGAACTTGTGCTATCCTTTGGTTAAAAAAACCCTATCATTCAGGGACAAGTTTAAATTTTTCTTTTTAGTTGGAGAAAGTTGTTTTGAGTAGCAAGGTGGAGTTATGAAGGGAGAGGGAGTGAATGCTATTCTAGGGAAAGGGAAGAGCTAAGAGAAATGTGAAATCTGTCTTTTTAAAATTAATCCCCCTCCCCTTCATCAAAGCCCTCAATTTCCCATCAATAATGGGACGTTTGCATTAGAATTATTTGTAACTGGCAGATCTAAAGCACTGGGCTATGTGGTCACCTTTGAGAGAAGGAGAAAATTGATTTATTCTCCATGGGAACTTCTACAACTTCTTTAAAGAGCACTCTGATTTCTCACCCTCTTTCAAAGCAAAGATCTAGAGGCACTGAAGTTGAGAGAAACTTCCTGTAGTATGCAGCCTACACAGCAGCATGTGAGCTTACAGCATTGTTTATTTTTAGTCAACTGCATTGCGAAATGTTTCCACCACTTTTATGTGTTATGTTCCCGGTGGTAAAACATCTGTAAAATACTTTTAAATGAAAAGGAACTTCCAAGTACCCTTTACCAAAAAGTAACGACGGTGTTTCAAGTTAAAAAATGAGGAGCATTTGGTGATCTTTGCAAGAAAAAAAAAATGACACAGTTTACCATAAAAAGTAACAGGCTATAAAATCTATGAGCTCTTGAAATACAAGGAAGTAGATTGTCGCCCAGAATATGACATCAGCATGCAGTTTTTTTTTTAAAGCTTATAACTTAGCTTAGAAAATAATAGCTAAACCCATCAGTGTATTCATTTCTAGTGTTTAACAAGCTACATAAGACAAAGTGATAGGCAACATCACAGCATACAAGTAAACCTTGCTGTCGCTGGCAGAAACTCTCCTTGGAAAATGAGTGCCCTGAATAAAAAGTTCAGATCTAAGTGGCGAGGCTACTGCTAGTCGAATGAACCAAAAGCTGAAAGTAGCATTGTCCTGAAACCACCAGTAAAGTCTAGTTAAGAAATGACAAGTTAAAACACACATGTACAACATACCCATGACCACCTTAACTCAAGAGTCCTTAGGATGGACACACTGCACCCCAAGAAGCAGCCGAACAGAATCCCGAGGTAGCTCACTTTTAATAGTTTCTCAGTCCTCAGAGTTCCTAAAACTTGCCAAAATGATACCACCATTGGTCCAGGGGAAAGAACTCTTTCCGCAGATCATACAGTGAAACTGACCAAGTCCTGTCTTGTAATTCCATTCGCTACTCTCCCCCTTCAACACCACTCTCTCTCTCTCTCTTTTTTTTCTTCTTTAACTGATATCTATGTGAAATGAGCTGAAGTTCACGGTCCAGTTAGGAACGGATAATACATTCATTGTCCTGGCAGCGAACTTTTTTTTCAGTCCCTGGAAGAATTCATGCTTGCCGCAAGAATAATAATTACGGAAAACTAGAAATGCACTGCGAACAAATTAATCCTTAACGGACACCACCCTAACGAGGGCGGTAATGATTTGAGGACTCTCCTCCTCACGGGACTTGCATCTCCCGTGACAATAAGCTATTGTGCATCCTCCCAACTCACTCTACCTCTTATAGATCCAAGATGTCAAAGGTTGTCTGGCCTGGTTGACCATGACATGTGAGTTAACTCCTTCTGTGGCCACATGCTAGAACTTTATTAAAACTTTATTTGTACCCAGAATAACTAGAAGATAGAATGCATGGGTCTTTTCCACTCAGAGCTAGAGTTCCTAAGAGACGTAAGACCTGCTCTGATATAAACAAACAGGGGAAAGTTAGATGACAGCAAAGGGTCCCCGGATGGAAAGCCGTGGGGAACCCCGAGTTCTCTCACAGGTGACTTCAGGCAATCCAACTAATGGGACAGGACCCAAATTCCCCCAGGGCTTGCTTCTACCCAGCGCCCCACACGCATCCTCAGAAAATACCACAGCCACGGGAAACCATGCACCGCATAGTCCCTGAAAACAAAAGTAAAGGGGATGTGAAGCTGGAGAGGGAGCAAAACCCGAGGGCCAGGACAAATGCTTCATTTTTTTTTTTCTTTTACCCCAAGACCGATTTGACTATAATACCCACCTCCACCTTAACACTTCCGATGCTCTTTTTTAAAACAAAAAACAAACAAACCAAAAGCCACATAAACAACAACTCCCAAACACTGTCCCATGGAAATTCAGGGCAAGTATGCCTGGGAACTCAAGTCGCAGAGTGGCAGAGAGAGGATGGCAAGAGGAAGCAGTGTGAGGCCGCCTCACTGAAGAGTGTGAAAAAAATCAAATGTGAATTTGATGAATGTGAGGTCTGGGACATTTTGTCAAAGAGGGAGGGAAAGTAGAAAAGGGGAAAAAAAAAAGCAGCCCCGGCTGCCAACTCACCATCCACCAAGTTCTGGCCGAGATGTCGTAGCAGAGCTGCCATTTGATGGAGCCGTCGGAAGCTTTCCCTGCCATTACGCTGTCAGCAAGCTTCATCTGATGCTAACTCACGGGAGATAAGACACCTAATTGAGAAAACATTTGCAGTGGCATGTGGGGCAACATGTAGTCCGGTCCATACCATATGGAATCATGGGTAAAAAAAAAAAATCTCCTTGACAATGAACCAATCTCTCACAGACCCAGTGGCAAGGTGAAGTGGAGATGAAAAGTCTTCTGCTCCTAGCACTGTCTCCTCTCTCCTTCTTAAAAAACAAAACCCCACCGCTACACATCAAAGAGGCAGTTAAAATTAGGGCTTCATCACTCAGATGATTTTGGTCTGCAAGGTTTTTCCTTTCCTTCCAACAACCAATCCCCCCTCTTTTTTTTTTTAAGGAGAATAAAGAGATTTAATAGGACAAAGGCAGGTAGTGGACTGCGGAGGGAGATCGCCACAGGCTATTAGCCTAAAATTTCTGCTTGACAGATGGAACTGCTTAGAGACTATCATGCGATGTTTTGGGCTTTTTTTTTTTTTCCAACCCTCCCCCCCACTTCTTCGACTTTAAGTCTGATTCGGTATCTGTTTTTCACAGCCACTTTTCCCTAGAACGTGAGCTGTGCATTTAAAAATGTTCAGTTTAGTTTTCCTGTCTTACACATCTCTTTGGAAGCAAAGTGAAAAGTCTAAAACTAAATCTGGGAACAGCTGAACAGGTTTTCCAAGAAGAAAAAAAAAAAGGAAAAGGGAAAACCTAAGGAAAAACATTTCTCCTTCATTAGCCTATTTAAAAAAAAATTAATTCACTAGTTAATTTTGCTGTGCAGGAACTTAAACACGAGAGGACAATACTCAAGTCCTTTGATTATGGGTTCCGGCTGGCATTGTATTTAGATGTGTTTTTATGTGAGGAAATACATTACTGATATTTTACTCGTGCTAACTGGAGCCAGGTTAGTCATCATCTCTATTTTGTGGTGCCCCTCCTTTTTGCAAAAACTAATTCTGGGTTTTTCCATTCTTTGTAAGTCAGGTGGTCAGTCATGATCAATTCACTTTCACACAATTCTGGCTAAACCTGACATGAGGACTTCCTTATTCAGGGAAAATCACATCTGATTTTCTTACTGTAAAAAAGCCATCTTCATCACAGGGGTTTTGACCACACATCCTCTCTTTACCAGAATAAATAAACCACAACATGGACCTACCCATAAGAATGGCTGTAAAAATGAATTTTATTTTTTTAAAAATGAGAAGTCCAGGTAAATGCAGAATTTAAAGTCATTTCAAGATGAAAGGGAGCAAAAAGTAGAGAGAATGCTTTGTATTTATATTTCCTTCATTCAAACTGTGTGAAATTAGGAACTGCAGAAACACCTGTATAAGAGCAGTGCACCAAATACTTTCTAATTTTTTTTAAAAAATATAAGTGATTCCCTGATCCTCAAGAACCTAGCAGTGACCTCACCTTCTCTACCCTGCAGACCATGCACAGGGGGTCCATCTGGAGAATGGGGGAATGTATCTACAGCATTTGTCAGGGCTATTGAACTGTAGTTATTTACAAAGTTGTGCATTTACAGTCTAACTATCCAGGGGATTTTTTTTCTAGTGGCAGTTTTTACTGAATAATATTTAGATAAACTTATTCAGGACACATTTTAAGTTCGAAAGAGGTTAAATTTGGTGGCTTCCGCCCTCCTATCTCTAACGTCTTCCTTAGCAGGTGTTATTTTAACGAGTTAGCATCAGGTAAATAGCTGTTTGGGCAAAAATAATTTTAGTAAGGCAAAATGTATCCAGTTGCACTTGAACTGTTTTTGTAATTTAAAGCAAGATGCACATGCTGCTACTACAGAATGAACCACAAAGACAATAAATAAGGCATTTCTTTCTTATCCCTGATTGTAATAGGATTTCTTCTAATAACATGGAGTTGGGCGGCGGTATAGAGAATTATCATCAAATATGGATATTGTCATTACTCTTAGAAGCATCTTTGTATTTTTTATTACTCTGGCATCACTTCTCCTTCCAGAAAAAGAGTCTGCATTAGCACAGGAAATGTTAAGTTACCTTCAGTGTCTAGAAGCAAATGGACCTTCTGCCAGGATCGCGTCCTGAGGTTGCCAGTCAAACCGTGTGTTGCCTTGTGTAACTGAAGCGTCAAGATGACCTCGTCTTTCTTCAGTTTACTATTCAGTGAATGAAAGGCGAAAATGTTGGAAATTTGATATAAAATGTAAAATAGCACAAACAGAAAAACAAAACAAAAAATAAGGGGGGTAGAGAAAAAATGAAATAAAGCAGCTTTCTGTCTTTGAACCAACTTCCTATTTAATTTTATCCTTTTTTAATGAGTTAGCATCAGGTAAATAGTTGTTTGGACAAAAATAAACTGAAGTTTCTTTGCTTTATAGGGTCTTTTTAGCATTCTCCCAAGGCAAAAAGGCGCATGCACCTTTTGGACTCGTGGGCCCACAGCCCTACAATTTCTAAGTTTGTCC